AACTTCAAGAGGTGGTGTAGTCTAGTCTAGGGAGACTAGATTTCTATCTTTTTGCGCCAGATCATAACATAGGTATAAAAGGAGTTGGTTGCGATGGCCAACCGAGTTGAACGCTGGAATCCTATTGTCGATGGTGGTGCCGAAGATAGTGCTGATTGTGGAGATTTGGACCATTCAAGATGTTGTTCATGAGCTGCGAGCCTTTAATTGTAAAAAACAAAAGATGCAATACAAGATTGTAGCACACATGGTTTTTACCCTTTATGGTAAAAACCCTTTGTGATTTACCATAGGGTAACACCACGAAGGGGAACCTAAACCCTCTTTATGCCACGTGACACATGCCACGTGTCATATGCCACGTGTCCAAAGGACAGTGAGGCAAAACCTAAGGTTTAGGGCTTTGGGCCACTAAACAAAGGAACGGTGCCAAACTCCCAAGCATGGAGCCAAGGAGCAATAGCACTAGAGCATGGAACAACCCCTAAGCATTCAGCCCAGGAGTGAACGGACAGGAGCACAGAATGACTTGGGACAGTCGTAAATCCTAATGCTAGGACCAGCATGCAAAACAGAGCCAAATGGAGTCTGGCGCTATTTTGGTATATCGGTGGCCTAAAGCAAGGATATAGCTACTTCACCAGTTAGCATGGTGTGGAACTTGGACTTAGACCCAAGCCGGACGCAGAACAAGGACAGGCACGCAAGCGAAAGCTAGACTATACCTCTATTAAAGAAATTACAATTCTCATTGATTTATATCTGGAATCCTTGAATGGTATCATTGAATCCTCATAGGTTGGTCGGCCATGCCCAACCTACCCACAATGGCTACTTGGATTGTCGATCCCATTGGCTTTATGCTCAGTGTTCCTGATTCTTGAGCTGCTATCCCTACTATACATTTGGAATCCCCCACAGCCCCCCCCTCTTTTGAGGAACACATGCTTTGGGCTTTCACCCCAAGCCTCCCTTAGTATCAGGAGTTAGTCTCTGGGATAAACTCAAAACTAACTAAATATGGAATGGAGCTAGATTGCGAATTTGGACATGGGACGAACACCATTGTGTTCAGGCCAATCTCTACATTCCGTAGATATGCCAAATGAGCAAATCTAGACACTTTTTATAAATAGCATTTGGGACCGAAATGAGACTAACACAAAGGGCATGATAGCGAGGGTGTTTGGCAGACACGGTAAGCTATCATCCAGCAATATTGAGGGACTAATCTCAATAAATGAGGGTTCTTGTCAAGCCAGTGCAAGACAGAGTAAAAGAGAACTAAAAAGCTGGGCCAAGTATGTTTGGCTGAATAGACACTTAGGATTTCCATCCTTATGCTCATCTGGCCAAGTACAGATGCAAAGTCCAGTTTACTAACACTTGAACAAGAGGGGCTGATAAAGGGTCCAGCAATACCGACCTCCTACCATCGTGGCAGTAAGGAAAGAGTGTCCGTAAGGATTAGCCAACAAGTAACTTTCGATACCCGAAGTCACATTCGTGACACTCTCCCCCCCCTAGGGAAGATCGACGTCCTCATCGAGTTTAGAATACCACTAAGGAAACAACTCCAGAAAAAGTTCATGGTATTCACGCTATGTGAGAAATGCACCAACTTAAATGAGTTAGGAGGCAACTTCTTTGTCTAACGCGGATGCACTACCAACTCAGACACCTTCCGGCCGTCGCTAATAAGGAAATTGTAAGCTCCTGAGTTGGGACTTCCCGGGAGGTCACCCAGCCCAATACTATTCAAACCCAAGGACGCTTAACTCCAAATATCCCAAGACCCTTAACCGATTGGAAAAGGGGGTGCACTCTTGTGCATGGGCCCTTTCCCTCTATATCTGAACCCCATGGACCGTCTCTCAAGTCGTTCTCTTTGGTTGCTTACAGAAATGATCAATGGAGTTAGCCACCCTTGCTACTTTGGGAGTCACCCAGCTTACAAAAGTGTGATATGCCCCTGCCCGTAGGGACATAGAGAGAGAAGCCAGAGGCCCCAACCCTCATGAGCAAACAAACTAAACCCGTCAGTAAAGTTTAGATAGACTACTGTAAACAGGCAGTTAGAGTTGTTTACACAGTCACGCCCTTTTAATGGAATAAGGAACATCAATAGAGAGGTAGGTGATATGACCAGTCGACAGTAGCTACCCCATAACTAGAGATTTCACCATGCACACGAAGTCTACCTATACTGGCCCAAACTCAAAGATCAATAGATGGACAATATCAAAGTCAAAGACAATGACAGCTTAGAGACTTAATTATCAGTGAATAAATCTTAGATTAGAACACAAAAGCATTTTAAGTAAGTTATCATCTGATAAACCAATAGTATAGGATAGGAACCACCAAGATCACTATCATTGGAAAACATAGGATTCACCATCAAACAAAATTCAATAGCAAATATATCATCAAGTAAACTCAATGATAAAGTTAGCTATCAAATATGGTAGATAGTATGCCAAACAACTTACTAAAGATAACTCAAAGAACACAAAGTATTATTGACTAACAAGCAAAATGCTCGTGAATGTGTTAAGGCGTGGCCATCAAGAGAGTGAGAGAGAGAGAGAGGGAATATTCTAGTCCTCAAAATATTCCCCATCTTCCTTGTATAAAACCCTCCTCACAAGGGCAAGGGGGGGTATTTTGTGGAGAGCAGTGAAGCATTTCTCATGTTTGAGAGAGCGTTGGGGGAAGTGCCCCTCCTTCCCCCAACAAATGGTGAACCCGGCGTGACGTGCAACACTTTCTGAAGCATCATTTCTCTCTTTTCTTTTGGCCGCAGGATTTGGGAAAAAATTCCTTGTTCATCTTGTGGTGGTTTTATTTGATCTTGGGCGTGTTGGGTAGGTCTGGAGCTCCTCTCTCCAGCAAGGTATTGCACTCATCAAGTTGTGCAGTATTTGAAGAGATACAACATTTCTTGGCTTAGTGGGATGAACATTTTGGGGTTTTCACTTTCTCGCCTGGATCCTCGGCCAAATTTCTCAAGGTAATGCATTTGGGCTTGTAGATCTGGCCTAGATCTACGAGATGGTGATTCTTGGGGCTAGATTTGGCCAAATTGGTGGCATGCAAAAGGGGTTTTCTTCTCCGACTAGATTGGGTCATCTTTGTAGCAGGAATTTGTGCTCCTCCAGGCTTTGTTTTGGATGCCGTTTGAATCTAAAGGTGCTCTTGGTCCTAGGATTTCTAAAAATACCAATGGCACCTTAATATCGATTTACATCAGTGACATGCATATGTTTTTTCACAATATTGGCATTCCGGGCTACCTCTTCTTGGATTTTAGGGAATATTAAGCCCGCTTCTTCCCAAATTCTTGCTATAGAAGGTAGACGAGGTTGAGCTCTTTCCAACAAGTCCACCAACAGTCAAAATGGGGAAGGATTGAGACGAGAGGACTCATCCTTCTCTTTTGGGCTAAACTTTGTTAGAAGTTCCTTGGGAACAAAGCAATCTTCAAGGAACAGGTAGCCGGAGGAGCAGGAACAAGAGTTGGCGTCGGAATAAAGATGGTAGGAACAGGCACAGGGATAGGAGTTGGTGTTGGAATAGGCGCAGGGGTAGGAGCGAGAGCAAGGGTTACCGGTTACAAGTTACAGGTCCTCGATTACTGGTTATGGGTTACCGGTTACCAGCCACTCCAGCGGCTACTCCAATGGCTACTCCAGCGGCTACTCCGGTGGTTACCCTACGGGTCAATGGTGCTTGAGGCCTATATCTACTTCCCTTTCAGCCCTTATTTCTCTTCGTCATAGGCATTTTGGGCAACTTTGAGCAAATTGAGCACCAGCCTACAGTCTTCTTGCTCCTATCAACCCAGTTGCCTTGACCGGGCATTTGCAGTGTTCAGGGTATTTGATGCCGATACAAACTAGACGTGCGACAAATTGGCACCCTTTTACCATACCTCAAGGCCCTAAGGTACGAAGTAAACTTTCTAATATCCAAAGGCAGCTTCAGTACGACACTGCACCTTCTCGGGCCGAGTCCTCTTCATCCTCGGCAGATTCTAGTGACTTAGATCTACGAGCTATGGCGCAGCCACCTTTAGCTCGACCTCAGCTCCATGTTCTGTAGAAGGGGAGTGATCTGCCAACATTCTCAGGTGTTGGAACAGTCTCTCCAAAATCTCATATCAGTCGCTTTGATTACTACTGCACCATAAACATGATCGTCGATGATGATCATATGTGCCGCAACTTCTTGCAATCTCTTGAAGGCAAAGCAGCAACTTGGGCAGATTCTCTCCTCCCAGAGGACCGGACAAACTTCTAGACAGTACTTGCTTCTTTCAGAGAACGTTTTATTCAAGAAAAACCCACAAATTGGTTACTTGTCGACCTCTTTTCGTTCCGGCAGGGTGCTCACAAGTCTGTTCCTGACTACATCACATGGTTTCGAGCTTACTGGAAGCAATGTTGGGATTGCAGAGTAGTCCAAGAGGGGCTGGGTAGTTTTTGAGCTGAGCTCACGAGCTGAGCTCAAGTCAATGAAAGTCAACGAAAGTCAAAGGAAGTCAATACAATCCCCTAACTAGCGAAAGTTTAATGGCACTACCTTAGTTCGTCCCGAACCAAGAATTTTTAACATAAAATCTAGGTGTTTAAGGTATTCCATAAGCTCATGTAGATTATTGGTTCGACATGAACTAATCTTTTAGTCTACAAAAAAAGAAAATAATATATTAAACAATATAATTTATATTAAAATCAGAATATATTCAATCTTCTTCTGCTTCCATATCCAGAAAAGTAGAAATGGGTATAGTGGAATGCTCCTTCACTATAGGCTCGTGTTGTATGTAATGTTGTGCCATACGCTCAGCATAAATAGGTAAGTGGAATTGACTTTGGTCCATATGATCATCCATATCATCAAGATCAAGCGTGTGGACTGAAACACTGTGTGTGATAAGTGTAGACCTAATAAAATAGAAACATTTGAGAATAAATATTATAGATTATTTCAAGCACTAACATCACCTGTCGCAAAATCTCCTAAGAATGTCCTCAAAGGCACCCTCCTTCTCAAGTGCAAAAACCGCTCGGCCTGTCTCTTTTGCTGCCTGCACCATTGATCCAAATCCTGCTGTAGCATCAAGCACAATCCCCTTTGGCGGACAAAATAACTCCAACAAGATTTGCATGGCCGTGACCGAACGATGTCGATAACCAGGGAACGCTGGGTGAAGAACGTCCGAGTCAATCACATTTGGGATGATGTCTGTAGAGCTGTCATATCCTGGTAAAGCAAGAGCAGCACGCTCGTCAGCTCGTGTGGCATTACGCCGGTTCCCAATGTGGCATAGAGCATGGTAGTTCCAGGAATAAATCTGGAAAAAAAAAATAGAATAGAGTTAATTTATAAATAAAGAAGTCACACACCTTTCGCGTCTGCCTGCTAGTGCCTTTTGTGTCCACCGCCATACTCGAAAGAAGGCAGCCAGATGAAAACTCAACAAATCCATCATCGTTGTCAGCCAAGTGTGCGAGAAGGCCTTCCCACATTGGAGAGCGAGGAAGGATCATGACAACCACACCCTCGTATGTCATGAAGCTGCTCGCAACCTTTAAGGCTTGGGAAATGTGTTGGGCCTGCAACACATTCCATGACGGAGTATCCCCCTGTGGTGGTGCCATCCCATCGGGAAGATCAAAAAAGATGAAATCGATCTTCCCATAAGGTGTGAGCTGACCCAAACCATGGATCCACCGATCAAGCATGTAGAGCTCCCGACTAGTAGCATCTAAAAGCTGTGTGTAATCCCCAATGAGAATAGCAACTTCCCCAACACTGGCCGTTGGGGATAGAGGGCGAACCTGAAAATCAATTATTAGAACTAAAAGTTGAAGATAAAATTCATGCTTACTAACCTGTTTATGCATCGCTGCAGAGGAGAGCTCTTCTAGGTCGTCATCTGTAGCCGTAGGGAGGGATGGGAAGAATGTCTTAGTCCGCCGAAAAGACTGATGGCTGCTCTCTGCAACATCTATAAAAAAAAAAGTGAAGTCAAGAATGAATAAAAGAATGTTCCAAATCAAAGTCCTTACTCTCATGAAAGGTTTCATGACGGCCCCTTCGGGGGTTGAGAGGAGCAGGTACTGGAATCTCTTGTGCTGGAATTTCCTGTACAATTTCCTCTGGTTCAACAGTATTTGGATTTGGCATGGTTTCCTGAGTGCTGACTTCTAGGTTTAGTTGTTGAACTTCAACAATGTCGTTATCACAGTCAGAAAGAGCCTCTGGAAAATAAGAATATAACTCAAGGTTAATATTTCCTAGCTAAGTGCTGAGTTTCAAGTGAACCTGGATGACATTCAAGGTAGAGATCTAGCTCGAAGTCCGATGTTGGCATCTGCTCCACGAGTTCAAGGTACCACGGGCATAGCTCCCTCTCATGTGTACAAGGATAGTAGAACTCTGGCTCATACATCCCAAGCTTCTTGCCTCTAGTCAGGAGCTTCTGCAAAACACCGGTTGTGTATACCGGTGCGCCGGGGCTATATTTTAAATATCTACAAAGTAAAACAAAAATATAAATACCAATATATAAATGAGAATTGAAAAAATACCTGTAAACCATGCGCCTCGCAAGAAATGGTTGTCCTGGTTGGTTCTTGAACTCAGCCGAACTCGTCCCACCACGTGGAAGCCAACCATTCCCTAGCTCCGCAAGACAAGCACGAATATATTCTTCGAGAGTGATACCTGTGCGGGTGCTGGAAAGAAACTTCTCATCCCAGACTTGTAGCATCTCCTCACCAGCGGCAATACTCTGAGAAATGTACGCCTTCTCCTTCATCACCTTCTCCATCCTTATCTCGCAGCGTTTTTCGTTATTTCGCAGCCAAGTGTTGAGAAGTTCCAAGCAGACACTTTGTTCAGCAAAGGACATTTTACTCTTAGAGATGTTGTAAATGAGTTCCTCCGGTGCTTTATCAGTTCCTACACACACAAAGAGTTATGAAATGTTTCACAAATTTTATAAGAACTTACGAACGCGAGAACAAATCTCGGCAATGCTATCAAGCCATTCCTGCCCGCGTCGTATGTCTGCAATCGAGAGCAACTTTTTCACCTTTGTTCTCTTCGTATTCAAAATTCGCTGCTCAATCGCATGCCACTCCATCTCCTTCTGCTGCTCGTCCCCTCGAGCATTTTTAAAGAATGACGCTCTTTCTCCTTTGATTATGGGCTGCAAGAAACATTATGTAAGTTGATACATACTTCAATAATAATTTACCTTCGCCCAGACAGCAACTAGAAAATCAAGTGGCAGTTGGTACCAAGTCTGCAATTCTTGGCCTTTCCTAGCTCCTAGCTTCACTCGAATTGCTTCAAATACCTCACGATTGTACAACATTTGGACCTCCTCTAGCGAGAGCATGCCCATAAACCGAAGGTGCTCAATGTCATGTACCAATGTATGAGCTTGAAACGCAAATTGGTTTAGCCTGCAAAAACACGATATTAGCTAAGTTTACAAAAAATAAATTCTTACATGTTGATCTTATGGCATGCCATGTTGAGCTTCACAGTGTGCTCCCGAGTCATTGGTTCGACAAGTGTGACTGGAACACTAATGTGTCGTTCTTCGTCATCTCGGAACTTCTCTTGAATGCACTTCCAAAATGCCAGCCACCTATGGTTTCCATCGATCACCCAAAAGAGCTTTCCAATGAACCCTGCTGTCTCCACATGTTGTCCTAAGAATCCATCAAACTCACGAGACTTTCGCAGCCATATAGGATCCCATTTTTCCTCAAGTTCAGTAGTCACTGACTCTGTCCGGCCGGTTCCAGGGAAAGTTGGTGAAACGATGAAGGTACCAGCTGTGCTCCCAAACCCGACCTCGGCAAAGGAGCTGTAGATAGCCATGTTGAGGTCGTAAGCTGAGCGCACCCAATGGCTTTGAACCAATCGGCACAAAGGAACTAGAAATCGATGAGGGCCATTCCACGCCATTTCCTGTAACACTTTACTGACTGTCCGTTCTTGAGCTTGGATAATTGTGTCCCGAACACGATCATTCAAGATGGTGTCAGAATCATGCATGCATAATCCCTCACCACCATTAGCTCCCCCTGCACCACCAGCCTGAGGAGCAGTAGGAGCAGCTACCATGCCCCCAGTAGCCTCTGTAGTAGATCCACCTACAACGCTACCAATAACGTCCTCAGCTGGTTCATTGACCTGGCCGCGAGCAGCCTCAGCAACCGAAGGCATAGCACCCCCACCACCGCCAACATCAGATGCAAGTACCCCACCACCAGTACCCGTAGCCTCAGGAACACCAGTACCAACAGCCTCAATAACACCAACATCGATTTGAGTGTTCATCTCAACATCCACGTCATTGTTATACTCATCGTTGCCTCCAGCATGACTAGCCGAAACTTCATTAGATACTTGAGATGAATCTCCACTCAATCGGCCAAGCCCACAGCGATCAAGGCGGCTGCCTTTTCCTGGAGATCGAGACCATTGAGGTTGGCCTCGGCGCTTCCTCTAAAATAAAAAGCAAAACTATTAAAACATCTAACTTGTAATGTAAAGCAAACCTGTGGCATTTGAAGTTCAAGTCCCTTTTTGGAAGTTTCAAGCAGTCAAGCTTGATTTATATCTGCTCTCACAAGAAAAGTTTGTAAGTAAAAGATGTGAAAAATAGATTGTAAACTACAAGAAATGCAAAGGAAAAAAACATAAGTCACTGGGAGAGGTTGGTTCGCGCGAGAACTGACCTCACCCTACCTCTCAAGAAAAAGGAAAAACACAACAAGAATACGGGAGAGGTCGGTTCGCGCAAGAACCGACATCTTCCACCCTCTAATTTTCACATGAAATGCCCCATCAAGTCAATGAAATAAAAAAAAAAACCTTGAAGATGTCGGTTCGCACAAGAACCGACATTTCAATCTCTCTCTGTTTTCTAAAATATAGAAATCTCACCACTAGAAACATGAAAAAAATCAAGAAAGCTCGCTTCTAGAAAAAATAAAGGTGGGGAGACGTCGGTTCGCGCGCGAACCGATCTTTCCCACCCCTTCAACAAGGAAAAAAAAAAAAAAACGAGGTAGAGATGGGCAAAAAGCTAAATAGAAAATGAAATAGAATGCTAGGAGATGTCGGTTCGCACAAGAACCGACATCTCTATCCCTCAAGAGAAAACAAAAGTTGAGAAAATAGAAACTTCTAATGGAAGAAAGAAAGTGAGGAGACGTCGGTTCGCACGCGAACCGACCTTCTCAAGGAAGCATACCTTGTTTGAGGAGCGTCTTGAAGCACATTTCTTGATTGAAGCGCCTTTCTCTCGCCCTTCCCTGCTCAAGCGCGCCTTTCTTTCGCCCTTTGCATCTCAAACCCTAGGCGTAAAACCCTAAAAATCAACGGACGCGATCAACAGTCACGTGAAGGGAAGAGAGCATGGAGATGAGAGGGAGAACAAGCAATTAATGCTACAACTCTCATGATTAATCAATCCCTCTCACTCATAACCCACTCATTTCAACATTATTATTCCTCTCACAATCAATTATCAATTAATATGGGCGGCTCTTTAAGATTCTCATATCTCTCTAGATTCTAAACGGTTGTATATTTTGTTAAAATAATTAACTTGTCCTTTGCAAGGACATAGCTAATTAATGCTCACAATACAGAAGAATATCTTTGTTCTTTCTTGTCAGTTTCTCCCCAAATTTTTTTCTAAGTGCTCGAGCAAGGAGAAGATATGAGAGAATTCTATTTGAAGTTCGATCAAGAGCCTCCAATTGTTTTCTCTATGAGTGTTATAGGAGAGAACTTCCTCTGCAGAAGATTCAAGCTGAAGCCAGGATCAATTAGTTTGGAGAATGTATGTCGTGATAAGGGTAATCAGATAGAAAAATCCATTCTTCTCGACAGTGGTGTGGGAGAGAATGGGATTCAATGGGATCTTGATAGATGTACAGGTCAAGAGATTCTAGTTACAGGATCTCCGAAGCGAGGAGAGGAGAGCGCATCAGTTTCACAGCCAACTGTGCAAAGAGTGAAGGATGAAGTTATTATTCTCTCCAGTGACGAAAATGAAGAAGATGAGCTTCCTGACATAGCTTCCCAGACAAGTAGGTGTGTTCCTTCTGGACCAGTTTTTGAAGTGGTGGATAAGGCATTTCGGCAATCTCGATCATTACGGTTGGAATTGAAGGAGTTCCAGTACATGAGAGGTGAGGAGCTTCCTTCTTCCTATAATGGGAATATATTCTTCGAGTTTCCACCAGCAAGTTCGTCAAGCAGGAAAAGGGGTATGGAAACACGTCTTGATCCACATAATTGGTGCAGAGTAAAGACGACCCACTTCTCTCATTTCGATGGATCTGTGTCCATAGTCCATTGCGGTGGACAGCTTCAGTGTGTCGCTGAGAAATGCATTTCTGATCATGGCAAGAATATGTGTTTCTTTGA